ACAACCTTCAACCTAAATTACTTCAAGTCCGACCTTCACTCTATTGTTAGATATTCATTATTCTTATCTGAGTAACTTTTTTATTTACTTTCTGTGAGTTTTTTTTTGTTTTTCTTTTTTTGTTTTGTTTTTTTTTTGTTTTTTTTTTACTTACTAAAACAATTAAATTAAGCAACAAATTATTATGAATAATTTAATTATTCTAATTTTACTTGATATGTGGACTTATGTATTTCTTTATCTTTTTTATAAAAATTCATTTACGGAAGCAACATTTCTGTTTTTTTTTTGGGTCAAAGCGTTTACGGGTCAAGTAAATTGCGAAAATAGGCGAAATTTAAACAAATTTACGGTAGCGTGGGAAGTGAAGACGTAGTGGATGCGGAGGTAAGATTTCAGTCAAAATATTTTTGCGTCTTTCGATTTAATTTCCGCACATGTCCAGCTGAAGACAATCCACTTTTGTGTTCAAATCGTGAGTTGTGCTTGCGCTTATTTTGTACTTTTATTGCTTTTAGTTGAATGGTTATAAAACTGTGGCAACAACGTGTCGACAACAACAACAACAACAACAACAGTAACAACAATGGAAACAAATGAATTATCATAAAATTGCACTTTTTGTAGTTTAAAAGGCGTAAATTTAATGCTTTCAGCCCAAAGAGTAAGAAAAAAATTTAATGTAAAGTGTGACAATAGTTAAAATGCGTAATAAACCAAAACAAATCGCATTGAAGTTACGTTTTCGTACTACAAAAAATTCAAAAAAAAAAAGTCCAACGAAACCAAACTGAAAATGATAGTAAAATGTCAACTGATATAACAAAAAACAAAACACCAAAAAAAAAAATAATTTTTTTTTAAAATTTATTTAAACTGTGACATACTTTTTTATGTGCACAACATTTGTTTTTATTATTTTTTTTTTTTTCAGCGTAATTTTTTTTTTCTAAGCAATAGAAAAATTTTTTTTATTTTAATTTTAGTTTATATTTATAATTTAATTTTTATTACCTTCACTATAATTTCTTTTATTATAATTTTGTCGACATAATTTTGTGTTTAGTAATCTTACATCACATCACAATCAATCAGATATCAAATGATTTTTATTTGCATTCAATGTTTTATTTGATTTTATTGAATATTTTGTAATGTTAAGGTTTTATTATTATTTTATTAACCATAAATAAATGTAAATATAAATAACAAAGTTCAAGAATAATGTTAAAATTTAATATAGCCAATAAATTGTAAATAAAGAAATAGTTTTTAATTATTTAAAAAACAAATAACATTAACAGAAAATCAACAGTGAAGTTATTCTGTTATTAACAGCTGTGAAAACACCGCATCAAATAAACTTGAAACTGTTATACAAATAAAAACACAGAAACACGCTTCAATGTTAATTAATGAGGAAGAATAATATCAATAACATTCCTGTTGTTCGATTAAAAAGCTGATTTATCTTGCCTGCCCTTTAACTATGGAGTTTTCAGCTGGTAAATCTGGATTTAATCAAGATTCGATTGGTAAATCGGAATTCAAGCTAAATTTAATCTTGATCTGCCAAATTTTGTTGCCCAATTGAACATATTTTGAGTAATCTAATATTTTTGTAATAGTGTTAGTAGGCATTTATACTTTTCATAAGTACATATGGTATATTGAATCAAACCACACATTATTCGGTTGGTAAATCTAGATTCAAACTAGATTTAGTCTGGATCAAATTTTGTCAAATCTTATTGTCCAAATGAACATTTTTATAGTAACCTCACAATTTCTAGTAGCGTTAGTATATATTTATTGATTTCATAAATACATATATTGAATCAAATCACAGTCTCTCTTTATCTGCCAAATCATAAATAACAGCTATTAATTTCAAAGTAATTTAACTACTCTGTCAAAATATCTAGAGTGTTATGTTATAAATGAATCTCAAATGTATAACATTTTGCCCCAGATTTTTGCCCCAGATTTCAATTAAAAATGAATTTTGTACTGAAAATGCAACTCCATTGAAAAAATATACTCCAAATTCACCGATCTAAAACGCTATTGGTCATTTGGTATGATAGTGCATTGTTTTATACTTGCTTTTATTACAATTTTAAAGTTATATACTTGTCTGAAGGCCCAAGGATCCATAAACTTGAATTTAAATATTATTTTTAAAACAGATCTTATACCATGTTTTCATTGTCTCATTTAGGTAGTTTTCCTCACTAATGCCGCTGAAGAAGAGCTTTCATATAAATGACCTCATTATAAATAAATTAATTTATTTAAGACGTCGACTGCATCCCTTAAAAATAAATTTTAAATATTTGTAATATTTGAACTCTTTGTAATATCATTATTCAACCCGTTAGTCTTTCAGATGAGTTAGGAAATCTGATAGATTCAATAAAAGTACTTTCATTTATTTCTGCAAAGCCATTAAAGAAACAATCTCTAAGACATTAATGTCACTTTGTACACAATACTAGAAGAAGACATAGAAAACATTTGTTGGATTGCTTGTCTTCTTCCCTATAGAAGCTACTGTGAAATTTTCTTTACATCACATTTCAAACTAAATTTTTATATCCGAATAAGAAAGTCATTAATCCATACATTGAGTTCATTTATTTGAGTTATATGTAAACAAAGTTTAAAACTTAAAACACTGAAGGGAATTAACAAATTAAAGCGTGAATAAGCAGTTATTTATTATGGGATGGACCTTGAATCTCATCAATCCTATGAAATAAAATGAAATGAAATGCACAAATTTTGAGCTGGTGAACTGTGAAGTGAAGAAATAAATGCATTGTAATGATGAAGAAATTAGTTGTATGCAATATGTGCAATATACATAAAAATATAAAATAATGATATTAAATAAGAAATATATTATCAGTAACTTCATGTTAAGTAATGAAGGGTTTTTCCATTTCTGTACGGTATTGAAAAATGCTTAGCTTGCATCGCATAAATAATGCATAAGTCACAAGCAATTAAAGTAATGAGCTTAGGACTTTCCAAATTATAGCAAAACAAATTTGAAACTTAAAGGAAATATATGGAAAATATAGTTAATTTAAAAATAAAATTAATTAAAATTTCATTAAAAATTACTACATTAAAATTAGTTAAATGTAATGAGTCTTTTTGAGCAGCGTCGCAATAATTATGAGCATAGCTTATATTTTTCAAAAATTCGATTTTATTTGTAACAACTTCTTTTGATCTTTTGATTAATTTTTATCTAATATATACAGCTTAAAAAAAACATCTCTTTACCACATATATTATATCTTAAAAATCTATTTTTTTAAAAGTATTATGGACTTGGTAAGCTCAAAACCCCACTTATTAATCATCTTAGACCTTATTAAAAGTTTCAAATACTTTTAATTCCTTAAAAATATATATGATAATAGAATAGATCAAATAGGGCAATAGATCTGACATAATCTAACTGAAAGCATGACAACATCCCTAACCTCAAAATGGCAATTAAAATAATATCTGCCTTGTAAGTCTAGAGACAATTATATAGTTTTTACTTTTCAAACTATTAGTTATGGCAATATAAGAATCATATAGACATTTCGCTACAAATTCGGTTTTCTTCATAACACTCACCCAGTTCTCACAATTTTCTAAAACTATTTTCTAGTTATTGACAGCGGATCGTCTTAAATTCGTACTGATCTCAAGAAACCAAAAGAAAGAAGGACGACTTATAGTCCTCTTTCTTTCTTTTTTTCTTTCGACATGATTCCTTTTTCTGTGGTTTCTTAATTTGAGAATCCATTTAAATAAAGATGGTTAGTCTGAACAATTTTTCCAATTATGCCTTACTACTACTGTCCTATGTGAAGCATAGGGCCTCCACAATGTAGATATGTTCTTTTGCCCATTGAAGAGATATCAGTTTAGTTTTGAGATTTTTGATGCATCATAATACTTAGTTAATGACTCGTAGTTATATTAGACTTAGTCTTTATTGTTGCAATTATAAGAAGAAGGAAGAAAATTTATCACATTTTCTTTGTCATTGCATAGTTTGTTTCTTCTAAAAAATTATTTGCCAAATCAAACTAATGGAATAATCTGAATGACTTCTTGAGTATACATAGGAACGAACCTTAGAAGAACTGGATGATATATAAGTTATTATATCAGTTATATCCACCAATATAAATAGGTGTTATATGTCGTACTCATTTATTTAAGTGGATATGTAGGGATATGGAACCTCACTTTTTAAATGGGTAATCATGTTGAGCGCTGCTATTTGAACGGGTTTGTATGTAGGGCTCGTCTATATTTAAGTATATTTAAGTATATTAATTTATTTAACTTCCATAAAAAATAAAAACTGAAAAACTATACTGTCAAATTTACTTGTATTATTTATGCAAAATAATATTTACATTTTAAAATTTTAGTAAAAAGAATTTTCTTATGCAACCAGTAGAAACATAATAACATAAAAACCCAATAAATAAATTAAATAATTATAAAATTAATAATAATAATTACGATAATGTTATGAGTTAATTTAATTTACTTCTAGTCGTTGAAGTGATATAAATATTGTCGTATTGACATAATTTTGCCATTTCTATGTGATGCATTAATGACTCTCGTACCAATAAATCAACAATTTTTCCACACAATTTATTTGCATTAATTAAACAATTAAAAAATTAAAAAAAAAATAAAAAATAATTATTTTGTTAAACAATTTTTTTCACAAATGAATCACGCACTTTTATTGAAACACTTCAGCGCAGAGTCACAGTCACTATTGACCAAAAAAAAGACAAGCAAATAAAATTTTATTTGTTTTGCAGAGAAAATTTTTTTAAAATTTTACTAAAATTATTTTTTAAACAAATAAATCGAAAATGCATTATAGAAATTGTTTGTTGACAATTTGTTTGTTGTTGACAAAAATGCATAAAAATTATTTAACACACGCCGCAAACACTCTGTCAATGACGTATGCAGTACCAGCAAATAAAGGCAATCGCTTCATCATTTACGATCCAAAATCGGGACGGCAAATCGATCCATTGCAGTATCTACCGATTGTATTGGGCAATAAACGAAAACCATCTCAAGCCACTGGAAACATAATAGAACTGCCTCAACTCTGGAATCCCTGTTCCTGCACTGACTTCGTGTGCATGTGCTGTTTGGGTATGCAATTCACTACTGCCTTCAACAATCGCGGTGAGTATGGATTTTGTAGATATTCACATTGAACGATAGAATTATTTTCAATTTCTTCGCAAGTTGCAGTTTGTGTTTCCTTGGAATATAACTCCGCACAACTTGCACTGGAGTTACGCATCAATTATAACAGACGTAACATTGCAACATTTGGTTTCTCAGCACGTAATCCGCCGCCTATGTGTATTCCAGTACTCTTGCCCTTTCCGATTTACACCTGCTTGCGTTTGTACGATATACGTGCCTATGCCGGTAATGTACATGTGTGTCTGTCTTTAGTGCTCAACGCTTTTTGGAACCAACTCTTCGAATTTCATTTCGATTGTGTGCGATTCGGTTTGAATGGCATTGAATTCGTTACGAGTACATCAAATGGAAATATTGATCGGAAAGATATCACCACCACTGTTAATACTCTAAGCTTGGATTTCACTGAAGCAGATTCAGATAGTATTATTTTTACAGATAAGTACAGAGAACCCACAAAAGCTGAGAAACAAAAGCAAGAAGAAGTGTTAGTTCAGAAAGGAGTGAAAAGACGCAGGTTTGGGTGATCGGAGAAGGAAATTTTAGATTTAAGTATATTAATTTTAAGATATTTTTAATTATTTCATACATTAATCATTTAAGAAAATTAAAGTAAAAGTGAAATGAATATAAAATGAAGTTGAGTAACTACTGTTCAATCAACTGAAAGTTTCTGAAATGAAATGCAACTCACATCTAAAAACACAAATTTTAATGCCGTTAACGTAGATATAAAATATGTTGTTTTATTTCATACATGGCACATTCGAAACTTATATGTCGAATACATAAAATAATTTAATTATATAAAGATATAACTTTTGAAATGAAATCGATATTTAAAAACAATTTCCGAATACCAAAGAAATCATCAAATTATAATTAAATGATTTTTATTATCTGAAAGACTTCGACACCATAAATTGTCAAGTATAGTAAGCGATAAAATTATTATCACGTATTTGATTAATAATATTTTAAAAAAAATTACTCAATAGAGATTTGAAGCCTAAATATATATCAGGCAGATATTAGTATAAATTATAATCAATAGGCTAAGTCCTTCATAAACTGTTGCACTTATATTGATGATGATGAATGTTAATAGAATAGTACAAGTAAATACAGATTAAATGTATTTATTTTACTTTATTTGGCTTTAGTTTAGTTAATCATCATCATCAACATCATTAGTGGCGTAACGATCCTAGTTGAATCATGGCCTTCCTTTGAAAATTCCTTCACGTATCTCTGTCGTTTGCTATCATTCTCCAGTTTCTTCTTTCAAGTTTTTGCGCTGTTTGATCCACCTTGTCAATACCGCATAAACTCGGACGCCCTCTTGTCCTTCTTCCTTCTGATGCATATTGAAATATTTTTTTTTGTTGGGTTATCTATGCTCATTTTTTAAGTATATCTAGCCCATTGTAATTGCTTTAGTTTTACTCTCTTGCTTATTGCTCGTTCTCCTAGCTCTTTTTAACAAACGTCATTAAATCTCAGCCGAAAAGTGCTGTCTTCTTCTTTAATTGAACCAAGTATGCGATATCGTTCGAAGATATCTATTATCTTATTTTTATCAGGTTTTTTCGTAGTCCAAGTCTCTGCACCATACATTGAATTTGGAGATATCAACGTTTTACATATGTATTCTTAATTTTGACTTTTTAGTAAGCATATTTAAGTTCAGTTAATTATATTATGCAAATTTTTATCATTCGATTAGGTTAGAAATTGTAAAGTGTGGTTTACCAGCAAACAAATAGACTGATAAGAGGACTATGTAACATAAATGGATATAAAATAAATACCACCGACACTGAAAAATTCAGATAATACAAGAAACACCAATGAGAGAGGGAGAATTTCTGAAACTTTTTCCCTACTCAACTTAGCTCAACTTCATTAAACTGATATAAAAGCCGTTAAAATTATTTGTATCTATCGATTTTAAAGGATTAATCTTCTTAACTGATATTGAAGTAGACTATCTCCTAAAATTTTTAAAAGGACACATACGTCTAAAATAATTTATAGGATTATTAACTACCATTTTGGACTCTAAACTGCTATTGCTGTGGATATTTTAAGTCTATGTGTGGTTTTAGTCAATCAGTTCTACTTATCTATCCACCTACTTTACATTCCAACAACTGTTTGTCCCATTAACCTCATGAAGAATACTAGATATAATCAAAACGTATTGAGACGTTTCAGTGCTTTAGAAATATTTATAAGTATTCAGTGAGTATTCCATTTCTATTAAAATAGAAATAAATTTCTCCCTAAATACCATTTTTACATCACTTTAAAATCATTATCAATTCTTTATTAGTAAAAAAATTACAAGGTGGCATATCTGTACGGTATCCAGACTATAGTCCCATAATACCCTGTATTTCTATTATCTATATTAACCTAAAGATAGTAGTATTTTCACGGTATACAGTCTATAATCCTAAAGTATCCTATAGTCCTATGATCTATAGTACCATGAAGATAACTACAGACTATAGTCATGATATTTCAACTTTATAACATTAAAATATACTTTTTAAAACTAATTTTTTATTATTTTATATTGACCAGTTAGCCCGTTTAAAACTATATAAACAAAATATGATAATTAAAACAAAAAATTTTCATAACTTTACTATATCATATGTAAAAACTATCGAGAGCCGATATCTGAAGCACCACAAAACTCTCAAATAAAATTAATTAAGACCGTGTGCGAGTTCGTGTAAATTGAGTTAAAGTAAACTGAAATTCCCTAGGGTTTTTTTGCACTGCACTTATGCAAATATTTATTTATTGCACTTATTTATTATTTTTGATTAAAAGTTTTTAAATATATTTATTTATTTATAACACATCTTATAAAATTTTCACAATGATAATACCTAATTTACCTAATTTTTATCTAATTTACCCTACTCGAAATTTTGGTAAATACCAACAGTCGCTGCCATACCGACATAATTTACTATTTCCCTCAATTTTATCATCAATTTACTCGAACTCATGTAAATATTTATTTATTTATTGCACTTATTTATTATTTTTGATTGAAAATTTTCAAATAAATTTATTTATTTATTAAACATTTTATAAAATTTTCACAATGGTAACACCTACTTTACCTAATTTTTATCTAATTTACCCTACTTGAATTTCTGGTAAATACTAACATTCGCTGCCATACCGACATAATTCACTATTTCCTTCAATTTACTATCAATTTACTCGAATTCATGTAAATATTTATTTATTTATTGCACTTATTTATTATTTTTGGTTAAAAGTTTCCAAATAAATTTATTTATTTATTAAACATTTTATAAAGCTTTTACAACGGTAACACCTAGTTTACCTTATTTTTATCTAATTTACCCTACTTGAAATTCTGGTAAATACCAACAATCACTGCCATATCGACATAATTCACTATATCCTTCAATTTACTCGAACTATTAGGACAGAAAGATTTAATGATAAGAGCCCTCAGCTATCGCAACAGCTCCATACACAGTCTGCGTTAAGGTTGACATGCAGATTTACCCTTAAACCTGACCTAAGTTATTTATTTGAAGAAATGAATGAAGAAAATTTAAGTTTCACTGCCTCGCTTTGATATTTCAATAATATTTATCTGCATAGTTCGAAAGATCATCATAATTATCTTTAAACAAATATTAATTTGTAAAAACTCTGCGTCTGCATACGAATACTTACCAGACCCTATTTAATTGCAATAGGAAGTCAAAGGCCTCTCAGTGAAAGGAGTGTACTTAAATGTTTTTGGCACATTACGGGCGAAGCCCAAAGCTTTGAACTCACACTTTGCGAACGGCGTGCAATTATGTATTTCGCTCATGACTATTAAACGAAACTTGCGAACTTCGCAAAAGTATCTCAGCTCAGTTTGAGCGCAGCGTCTGTGTTGCTATTATCACAGCTGCTAATTTCGCTGTCGCTGCAAAACTCTGAAGTTTTGCAATTGCGCAATACTGAGTGAACATTGTATTTTCATAGCCCATTTGCCAGATACTCTCGTATCTGAGCTCAGTGCGCTTGTGTACCAGTTTTGCATGTGTACAAGTATTTTTTATAAAAATTTTTGATTTTCGTCTGCGTTTAGCATTTAAATTTGAAGAAAAAAATAAAAAAAATATTTATTGTTTTTTTTTATTTACTTTTGTTGTCGTCGACAAATTTTAAATTCGTTTTGTATCTTGTATCTGCGATCGCCTTGGAGTATATCAACAATTGTTGGTATTACTTTTGTCGTTGCCGCTGCTGCTGCCGTTACCGCTCTTACTGCTGTTACCGCTGTTACTGCCGCTGCTGTTGATGTTGTTGTTGATGTTGCCACTTTAATTGTTTGAATTGCTCATCGCCGCTGCGATTGTTACTGACGTGCCTTTAGTTTGTGTTGTTGTTGTTGTTGTGTTCATTTCATATCGTATCGGTTACGGTCTTAGCCATACATTTTTTTACTGATTTTTTAATTTTGAGTTGTCTTACTTGCAAGCAAAAATTTTTTAATTTTGTTCAGTTGCTTTTCGGTACGTGAACTGATCTGGCGCATTTCAAATAAGCAAAAAATATTTCCAACCAAAACATAAAATCAATTTAAGTCCAGACAAAATTCGAATTTCCTTTTTTCGAACGTGTATCCTTTTTCGAACGTGAAGTCTCTTTCGAACGTGAAGCCTTTTTCGCCGAAATAAAAGTGAGTTGCTGTGTTTCAAAGAATCAAAGACTGTGTTGCATTTTGTGGGATTGAATAATTAATTTTTTTTTTTTTCACTTAAACATAATTTCATGCTTTGGACTGGTAAATGTTGTTAATGACTAATGTTTTTTTCAACAATTATTTTAAAATATTTCGAAAATTGTTACATTACTTTTTAAGTGTTGTACGAGTGTAAAGAAAACGTAATTTTTACTTAACAAAATTAGTAACCTTCAATGTGACCCCGATCTTATCTTTAAATCTTTTGTAACAAATACTCTATTCCGTGTGATAAATTATTTCACAGTCTTTCGGCTTGTGGTCTATAGCAATTGCATAATTAGTGTTGAGTATTTTAAATTAAGTACTATTTTCTTTTAAGTAAATTGAAATTTAGTAATACTTTTAAAAAAATTATTAAAAATTTTTGTTGTTGTTTAGACAAACAATATAGATGTTCCTATAGAGTATATAATATTTAAGTATTTTATATGCTTAACATAATTACAATTTAAGGGTAGTCTTTCTTTATAAAACAAAAATAAATAGGACTATATAACAGATATATATAGTTATACATCAAACGTAATTACAACTTTAAACTAATCTTAATGAAAGAACAATTAATAAGTATCAGAACACAAGGTATTTTTATAAAAAAAAAAATAGTAGTATTATAATAGTAGTAGTAAAATAGTAGTAGTATTTTTAATTCGATGTACAATAAGGAGTAAAACATTGATTCCAATAAGGAATAAAATAAGAATAAAAATAAAACTAAGGAATAGAAAACTGTTCCCTAAGGAATAAAAATAAGTATAAGAATAAGGAATAAGAGAATTGATTCCAAATTAAACATCGGTACTTGAAAAAACAAGAAATTGTTTATAATATTTTTCAAAAATAGTTACCTGTTCTCTTTATTACCGAATGTTTTAGTGCCGAATTTATTATAATATTTTTAATTATTCTAATTATTAATTATTCACATGATTCATAAGCCATTTGAGTTAAAAGAAACTTTAATATAAATCTACTAAATATAAAATGTAAATTAACACGTACTGGTTCCTAAAATAGGTGACCACTATTACTTATTAAAAAATCTTTTAATTGAACAAAAATTTTCTAGTTGAAAACTAGAATATGAGTAATGAGATCATTACCTAAATCTTATATACATGATCTGTCTACAATCAAATTTGACCAAAGCAACTAAGTAATCTTAATCACTTCTTACTGTCCAACAGGACACTATCTAATAGGTGCTAAGAGAATCCAGCAATGACAAGTGCCATACTTGAAAATAACAAAAAGAAAAAATTGTTATCCTATCTGATTAGATAAAAAAGTTTTTTATACCCTTAAATATCTATCGGACATTCCTTATGTAATAGTTTTCATATACAAAAATTCTTACAGTCATTTAGTGCCTTAAAACTTTTTGCCCACAAAGGGCCACTTCAAAGCACCTATGTAAGCCCATTTTCCATAAAATGAGCACCCACTGGCACCTATCTATCTATGAATATTTGAAGTTGAGGATCCGAGTAAAAACAAATTAAAAAGAATAGAGAAAAATTGCAATCCTATCTGATCAGATCAAAGGGTTTAGTATATTGTTGAATATCTATCGGACATTCGTACTGTGTACATTAAAAACAATAGTTTCCGAGTACAGAAATTCCTACAGCCCATAAAGTGTTTTTGTGATATCACAACGTATTTATTTTCACCAAAGATGTTGGTAACAGATATATAAATCACGAAGTGCTTCACTCTTTTGATAAAAATTAAAAACTATTCATCATTCAAAAATTATTTTTTCATTAATAGATACTTAACAAAGTGATTAATTAATTATCATTATTTATACATAAATTGATTAACAGTTTTGCGTTCATGACAAAGTATGTATTTCGAATAGAAAAATTATTTTTTTTTAACTATAAAAATAAATTTAAAATGAAAATAATCCATTGAGCAAAGCATGCCATAGTTTCAGATATATCAAATTCCTATAATCAATTATCTCTATAAATATTTATTAGTTTTAATATAGTAAATTGATTGAACTAAGCATGCAGCAGTATCCATCCATGATCTTTGTATATATCGTAAGCATATAAGTTATATATAAATATTTTAGCCCACATCTCCCAGGTATCGACCCATGCCATATTTCAAAAATAGACTCATATGTTACACTATTTAGCAACTACTAAACTTGCATTTAAACAACTTAAAGTTTTCTCAATATTCGAATAATTCGAACTTTTTGACGTAAATTCGAACCTTTGTATTCATTAAGCGTTCAAGTTATTTGAATAATACCAAGAGCACTGTCAGTTTCATACATATTCATTGAACAGATCATGCGGAATAATATTTTTAAAGAAACTCCTTCAATGAATTACTTTGTTAATTTTTGAATTTGAAATATTATTTTATTATATATATATTATATATTTCCATTATTATAAAATATTATATTATTATTATTATAATAAAAATAATTATATATTTTTATATATATAAATATATATTATATATATTTTTAAATTTTTTTATAATCGTATATAGTCAAAAAAAAAAATGTTAAAAATGCTATTAAAAAATTAAAGAATGCGATCAAACAGATATATTATACATATATGTATATAAATATTTTTATATGCAATAAATAAAAGCATTTGTTATGTTAAATGTAATTATTATATGTATGTTATATGTATATGTATCATATATAAGTATGATATTTAATGATATATTAAATGCTATATATTAAAACAAATATTGTGTTTGAAACTTACCAAGATATTATTAAGCCATTTTAAAAAACGCGTATTATTAAATAAATTCATTACACACATACCCGTTAACCGATTTATAACCGATATATAATCGATATATAACTTATAAAAAACTTATTCGAAATTTAAAATTTAAGAATTTAACACCGGACAACAATTTTTTTATTGCTCTTTTAAATAATAAATTACTTAAATATAACAGAACCGTATATTAATATATTCAATATATATAAGATTAGATATATGCACCAAAAGACATGTTATTACATGTATAATATAAAATATATAACACAATTTAATATAATAAAATAAAGAATATTTAAATTTTATTTTTAAAGAAGAAAAAAACCAGAAAATTCGCCGTTCTGATCCAATAGTTCTACGTGGCTCTTTAGGATCACAATAAGAAAAATCACTATAGCATAAAAAATTATAAATAATTGAAATTTTACTAAATCTACTCAACTTATTAACAATTTAGCCAATAATTTCGTAACTTAATAAAATAACTTTTAAATTTAAAATTTAATTTAATAACTTTCACTTGCATTTTTAATATATAACTATTAACTTTATTTAATGCATTAGACACAATCATTATTAAACGATCACAATTATTAAAAACTAATTATTTTTCAAGAACGCCGAACTTCATAATTTAATACAAACTGAAGACCCGTTGGACCGGCACAAATAATTTTAAATAAATCTTTTCCGATTAGCGCGTAACTTTTGACTAAATTTCTTTATTCTTAATAAATATTCTGCACTTTTTATTAAAATAATATCAACAATAACGGTTTCCAAAGATTACTCCTCACCGAAGCCTTACAGTGGGTCTTCATGGTTGCACATACGCATGATTGTTCGAATTTATTAAGAACTTCATGGCAAATATCAAAACAAAAGCAATCCTTTATTCTTATTTAACATAAAGCTTTCTTTGTTGCTGTTCTAATGAACTTTGCGTAGAGTGCTTTGCCTACAGTGAGAGTAAATTTGTTTTTGATTAATAAAAAAAATGTATGTGTGCATATTGCATGCTAGTTCTATGTGTGCAAAAACAAAATACAAGAACTTATTAAATCGCATTCACTAAGAATGGAACCGTGTTTACAAGCTTTTCCATTGAACTTTTCTTCACCAACCGAAAAATAAATAAAGCTTTTGACACATGTTTTGTTGCACTGCACTGTGGGAAATTTATTTGGTTTAAAAGGATTTTATTGTTGTTGTTTTTTGATAAACAATACTTTAGAATTTATAATTCAATGTTTATTTCACAGTTGACAGAATGAAGTTTGTCAGCTAAATGTCGAACTCCATGCACATATGGAAAGCGATTTGTTAGTAAAGTGATAACATTTTTTTAATCGTTTCAATCAAGACTTTGAATTCAAAGTGTAACAAAGCCATTTTATACACATACGTATATATATATATATTTGTATTTCTCTATGATAGATGTATTAAATATTTTTAAAAATTAATTATTTTTAAATATTATTAATCAAAATAATTTTCTTTTTTTAAAAAATAATTTAATATATACATATAAAGTCTCAAAAAAAAATAACACACCCCATTTGCCACGTCTCTTTTTCAATATTGTTTTCTTTTAAATCGGAAAATGTTTTTTATTAAAACATAAAATTAAACAAATTATTATAAAATTATTAAAAAATTATTAAATTTTAATCAAATCAGAATAAAATCAGAATAAAATTGTTCATTTCGTATATTAACTTTTAGCAAGTTTGAGTATAAGACAGATATTTTTAAATTATACTTTGTCTAATTTTAACACAATATTTGTCTAAATTACTATACATTCTGCACAAGCAAACAACTTAATTATAATAAAATTAGTAAATTTGAATTTAACAGTCAACAATTCACTACTGTCTTAATTCAAAGTTAATCATTATTTCGGTTAATTATTTCTAGTTTAATTTATCATTTAACCGTTATTGATGCTGACTTAATAGGCAGTCAGGAATGCTAAAAAATTATGCATATAAGGAAACATATCATTTCTTCAATCAACTGGTGATACTGAAGATCAACTAACTTGAAAATCTTAAATCGGTTTAAAATTAAAAAACATAGATACATATTCCCAAGAATGCCTTACAGAAACCTACCTAAACTACTACGATAGTATTAATATTAATTGCAATTATA